AGAATATTTCCTGTGGATTGATTAAAATTTTATAAAAGTATATATGAAGATTTTGAAATTACTTATAAGAAATCTCCCTGTGGGAAAGTTTTGCTGACTGGAGAATAGACATATGATAAGAGGGAACTTTGAAGGTTGACTAGAGGGAACCAGAGAAAACTAAAGATTACAATTAAAGAGAAGAGACCTATTAATACAATGGAGCAATAGTATTTGGCTATAGAAGAAATTAAAGCTGTCTGGGAACAATGTACTCAGAAATTACTTTTAACATTGTCTGCCACTATAGAAATGGATATAACAGATGTTACAGAAGAGGCACAATTTTTACAGGATAAAATAGACACTAAAGCTGATTTGAATGTGGGTTTGAAAACAGATTCTAAAAAAATGCCAGACTACAAGAGTGATATGGAAGATGATGTAGATTTGAAAATGGATTTAAAAATGACAGACCATAAGAGTAACATGGAAAAAGATGTTTTAATAATTAAGGGGACATACAAATAATAAATCAGAAGAGTGACTTACATAGCTTTTTAATTTTGGACTTACAAAAGGGACCTATTAAACTACTGAAGCTGTTCCAGAGAGGAGACAAAGAAAAAAAATAAATTAACTTGTGGGACACTATTTGTTGGGATTAACGCCCAAGCTTTTAAAAAGTAAATGGAAGGATTACAAAGTGAACTTATTTGATCAGGGCTTTTATTATATTCACCCTGATCAAATAAGTTCACTTTGAAACCATTACACACACACACACACACACGTACGTATGTTAGGGTTTCTGAGAGCTGTTAATGGAATTTCTTTATGATCAGGACTGAATGATGATGCTTTAAGATTTGTTTACAACTGGGGAGAGATTTCTTTTACTTTATCTCTTAGGGAAAGTGATAAATTGGAGTGCAAAATGGATTTATTTCATTAAGGTTTATACACAGAGAGATAAAATTTCTGGTAGCTCTTAATGGACTTTTGCTGAATAGAACTGCATGATGAGTTTTTATAATTTGTTTATTGATAAGAGATGACTTATGGGAAGAAGAGATTTTTTATTATTGAAATACTAGAGAAAGTGTCAAGTTACAAGAGTTGTTTATACTTGTCTGGGGGGAGGGAGAGTCACTTTTATATATTTTTTTCTCTTTTCTCTTTTTTCTTTTCTCTCTCTTTGCACTTTTCCTTTTCCTTACTTTTTATATTGCTCTTAGTTTGTATTACTCTTTTATCTTTGTATTTGTAAACTTTAATATTATTACCAAAAAGAGTTTATTACAATGTGTTGTATGAGCAGCTGTTTGTCATAATGGTTTGAAAACAAGTACAAAATAACAACAACGAGAGTAAAGCCTGGAGGTAGGCAACATGAACACATCACAGCAATTCTTTATCATCTTCACTAACTCTCATGTAATTTCTGATCCGAATTCAAGGGACTGTTATTAATCTATAAAGCACTTCACTGTTTGGGACCACAGTATCTGAACAAATATGTCATCCCTTATGATGTTGTTGTCATACACTAAGATGATCTTTGGAGGTTCTGCTCCAAGTGTCCTATGTTAGAATGTGATGGCTGGCTACCTAAAACCAAACTTTTCAGTGGCAGACCCAACTTTGGAATGTCCTCCCCAGTGAAATATCATTTTTGTCTTTTTGTCACTAGACAAAGACATTGCTATTCTTCCACACCTTTTAATAATGTCTTAATGCTGCTATGGCTTGTGTGGGTCTTCCGGGCTGTGTGGCCGTGGTCTTGAAGTCTTGTTTCCTAACGTTTTGCCCGCACCCTTGGC